TACTTCTATTGATATAAATCTCAGGGACCAAACTTATGAATGATGCAAATCTCAGGGACCATTTTGAATAAAAAGCCTATTCAAATTAAAATTATGCAAGACAATTTAGTATAGAGACGTTTTTCATTAGGGTTTTGATATGTAAACTCTCATTTTATCAATAGCGAAGCCACATAGAGGTCAGGATAAGTCCAGACCCGTCCTAAAACTTTTATAATTTATATTTGTTATCTGCTACTTTTTACAATAAAGAAAATGCAGTTCATGAAGTAGTGAGTAGAATTTGACAATTATATCATGCCATGATTCCGAATCTTATGGTTGCCAACGACCCTTCGTTTTTCATAAATTCAGCTTTATTACTACCCTTCCACCAGTTTGCTACCACTTGACAATATATTATTATATTGTATGAATATAACGTCACTTTATAACATTTTTTTTTTTACCATATAAAATGTAACATCCTATCCCGGATTTTAACAGAACGAAAGGGTAACGTTGTAATTTCATGTTGGGTTGGGATATTAGTTTAAAATAAATAAAACTAATGAAAATGGCTTGAAAACTTTGAGTTTTAATGATAAGGACAAAATAAATGGTAAAGTGAATAGTACTAGGTTTGACTTTTTAGTGTAAAAATGTAGTTTTTCGTTAAAGTGAACAGTACCATGGGTTTTTCGTTAAAACTCCCTTTAAAATATTGTTTTTGAGGGCCTTAATAGGTGTGCCCAAGGGGCCCACCTTTGGAGTTTGTCCTTGGCCCACTCCCTTCTCTTTCTCTTTCTTCCCTTCCGTGAGTCTCACTCGCACTTCTCTCCCTTCTCTCTCGGCAAGCACCGAAGGGTGCCATGAGGGAAAGCACCACCTCATAAACCACCCATTTCACCCTTTAGACCTCACGAGCTCGAACCCGAGCCCTATTACGTAGGAAAAACCGAACCGTGAAACTCTAACTCCGAACTCCTACGAGAACAAAGTTCCTCGACGCAACTTCGAATGATTTTGTAACTTTTCCGATTTAGGTAAGCCTCATAACACTCCAAATGCTTCTCTTTTGGTCCCTATAGTTCTTTTCTGACCACGTTGTTGTGTTTGGACGTCAAAATACGAAGAAACACCTCGGAGGACTATATTCCCAGTTTTCTGACGAGGTGTCAGGACTTGTAGACGTTTTCCGATCATATTCTGACCACGACTGGCCACGAGGAAGGTGTATTTCGACTCTTTGCTTCACGGGCTTCATTTTGGTATTTTAGTTCATTTGTTTTGACTAAGTTTCGAGCTCCGTTGGAGCTCAAGAATTCTCCAGCCGATTTCCAGCCTTCTTCTTCCTTGGGTCCGGTGACCCACAAACCTTAGACCTAAGACCCTTTTTACCCAGCCCATTTGGGCTGCCTAATCCTTAGCCTTTTAAACTAAATGATCTAATTAAATAATCAGGCTTTCAAGCCCAAAACCCTAGTTTAACCAAGCCCACCCAGCCCGTTGAACCCAAACCCTTAACCCGTTAAAACCAGGCATTTGGGCCTAGGACCCTTCGGCCCAAACCCACTAGCCTAACCCAGATGAAATATTCTCTAGAATATTCTGTCAGGGCATATTCTCTAGAATATTCCTGGAATATTCTTAGTGTTGACTTTTTCAAAATTTACCCAGGACCCTTCTTAGGGTAATTCATCGTCCTGAATCCGTTTTTTATGTCCGTTTTTCCAAATTCAATTGTTATAATATAGTTTTATTAATTGGATCCTTTATGTGATTATGGGCAATTATTTGTGGTGTTTCCGTCTTCGCTAGTTTGCATGGTTCTTCGGCGGCGAAGTACATGTGAGTGGACCCCTTCTAAAATGCATGTTTTAATAGTAGTAATACATACATGAAAATCATGATTTAATGATTATGTTTTATGAAACATTTTATGAGATATTATGCTTACTGAGAATATTTTGAATTACCATATTGTATCGAACTCATGTTCTTTGTAGTATAGATGATGGATGACTTTATACTACTTATGAACATGTTTTTGCACACTTCTTTATATTATAGATGATGGATGACTTTATACTATGAAGATATTTTTGAGATATATATATATATACACACACCTATGTTTGGAAAGTCTATGTTCAATGGTTTTGTGCTTATCTAGTGGTCACTATACTGCCACAGGCGAGGATTATGGTTGTTGGCTGCGGGCCGAGAGAAATAATCTCTGGCTTCGAGCCGAGAGACATGAAGTGTAACACTCACATCGACCAACGGAGAGGGGTGATGTGCCTTATATGTACATACCCACCTCTATAGCACGAGGCCTTTTGGGACCTCACTGGTTTTGGATTCCATCAGAACTCCGAAGTTAAGCAAGTTCGGGCAAGAGCATTCCTAGGATGAGTGACCTCCTTGGGAAGTTCTCGTGTGAGTTCCCAGAAACAAAACCGTGAGGGCATGGCCGGAGCCCAAAGCGGACAATATCGTGCTACAGCGGAGTCGGACTGGGATGTAACATGGAGCTGACATTGGGTTGGGAGAAATAATCTTTGGTTACGGGCACAGAGACATGGAGCTAGCATTGGGCCGGGAGATATTGTTACTGGATACCATAGTTAGCCCACTATATACGAGATATGGTTTATGAAAGGTTTTATGACATGCTAGGGTTTTCGGAAAACCTATTACATATTATGCTATTGAGTTTTCACTAAACTTTTAGGGTTAGTATGTTGAATAATTGTTTTATTATGTATATATATCAACTTGGTCCGCCCATGTTTGTTTTGCGCCCCCTCAAGATTTAGATTTGAGGCATACGATCCCGACGTCAAGACACTTCCGCATCGGCATCTTCGATTCCTCTCGATGTACGACCCATCTCTCTGTTCATTCAATTTTATATTATTTCTGTTAGTGTTCTAGATTAATTTTATGCTTTGAACACGTTCCTCATTTGCATATTCATTTTATTTAAATTTCTATTACCTTATTCATATTTTCAATTTTCATGCATTCTAATATGGCTTCGTCACCTTCGGGTGTCGGCTAGCACGTGCCTACCCTAGTGTTCAGAAAATATCAGGGTCGGGCGTGTCTTAAAAACTAATTCCTTTTTTGGTTCAATTCATATAAAAACTAACTCCCCATATTATCAAGCAATTCGAATGTCTAGCATGATCCATCTGTAATATTTGCTTAGGGTTTCAATAGTATTGAAAGTATTCTAAATGCTTGTTACGAGAAAGAAAGAAAGAAATAATAAAACTTCAGTATTATAATCTATTGGTATTCCTCTTCATTTGAAAGTGAGAGATTTTAGATTCGATTCTCGCTAAATGCGAATTTAAACCACATTATTACTAGCCAATTGTGAGACTTAACTACTCCATCACCCCTTAGTGTAGATAATATCGTTTTATTCAAAAAAAAAAACTAAACTAGTCCGATTTTGTCCTTAAAATAATTCATAGTATGGGTTAGCATATTGACATATTTTTCACGGAAAGATCATAATGATTTACAGTGGACAAACTCAGAGACCAAAATGAGGATGGCAATCTAAAGGACCATTGGCTTCAAGAGCCAATAAAATATATACTTGATTCCAATATATACTTGTATAATTGGCATCCATGCATGTGTGTAGTACGTGCTACAGTAACAACAAAATCTTATTTACTAAATGGGGCCGGTTGTATAAATCTTGGAATGTCACTACGCTCGGTTTTGCACTAAATCTTCCATTAGCTCCAAACTCCATGTCTTTTCTTAAGGTCTCTTCCCAAGTCTCTTTTTGTTAGCTCCAACAACAACAACAACAATAGAGTCTTATTCCACTGATTGATGATTTCTTTTCTCTTACTTTGGCTTCGAGCTACCATTGAAGACATCTAATGGCTAGTAACTTCTTTCTCTACCATAACCTGGAATCATGTTTATAGTGAAGCCAATTTCTTTGCGGATACTTGTTCAGGCTAAAAATAGTATGTGACTTTTAACCATGGGCCTTTCTTTTTACAAAATTTGAACAGTGAAACCAACTCAAAAATATATACCAAGTCCTTTACTTACAACACAAGAAACGAATCAAGAGCAAGTCAGTATCTCACTCATGACACAATCATTTGATTAGAAGTTAAAATAACTTGTGATGCAAGACTGGAGGGAATACAAGGATTTAGTGGAAGTAGCTGACTGTTCTTCAATCAAAGTAGGTAACTTATGTAATAAATAATTATTTTTTACAGATGAGACTACTTTTTTCTTTCTATGCATTATATAATTAGTTACTTTAGGTTTAAATTAGTAGCACTTTCCACATCACCATCACTTTATGGCTTCGTCACCTTCCGGGTGACGGCCAACACAATTCGATTCAGGTGTCCAGGTAGATATTATGGCTCGGAGTGTGTCAGTTTGGTATTAGAGCCAACATCGACATGCCTAGCATTCCAACACACAACTTGGGACTTTCATCCAGTCTCTAATTGTCATTGGCTCAAACCTTTTAGAGAAAGGAACTCTCAACAATGCCATTACTAGCAATGGGTTTTCTATTCAAGATCCTAACATTTGCGAACTTTGCTACTCAATTGCTATCTCCCTTAGCGATGCTTTTAGGAATTGCTATCTCCCTTAGCGATGCTTTTAGGCCTTTCGATTAAGTTATACTTTGAACCGTTGTTACAGTATACACTAATACGATACTTGGCTGTTAAATCCTTGACCACAAATCCAGCCCTCTAACCCTCTATCGGTTGCTCACAATCTGAAAATATATCCATAAAAGATCACTGCTGAAGGAGCCTATCCTCCTTGCGCGTCCAGGAATAAAGAACGAGTTCAAGAGGAGGTAGGCAAAAACTTAAATTTACATCTCCCTCGGAAGCAAAAACCATATTTAAACGTGATTTTACATCTAAAATTTGAATCTCTCTGTTGGAGATTTGCTCCGATGTATGTTGGGAGAAGTTTCTTACAGCACATTTAAGTAATCGTCAATCTTATCAGAAGAAAACACGATCCATGTGCAATCGGAATTCATAATCATTCATCAAGAGCAAAGTTTCCGAAACAACAAACCGGTTAGGAACACTTTAAACTCATCCATAGCAAGATACATGAAGATTACGATCAGCTACATGTTACAAATTCCCCACAATTCATGGTACCGAGGATAACCTGGTTCAAGCATCATTAGAATTACATTTTGAAGAACAGACCCGACCACTATTCAATCTCCGCTGGCACAGCCCCTACAGCCGCAATGCACACACTCGATAACCTTCTCCTCCCTCAGATGCTTAGGAACTCGGCAAACACACGTGGTGGCAAAGTTATGGTCCCGGGGCTGCATGCATCTTAAACAGCAGAGCCGTTCATAACCAGGCTGCATTTCAAACACAAACCATATGTCATCACATGTTGTTAGATAAATAGAGTTTAGATAAAAAGACACAAGCTACATGAGTATGCAATATTTTCCTTTCATTATCCTAAATAAAGTTGACTGTTATCCAACAGTTTCGAGCTGCAACTATAGTACAGAAGTTCCTTCAACGTACTCATATAGCTGAAGATGCAATGCCAAATTGCCAATACATGTAGCAGGAGAATTTCAAACTGTGAGTTCAAGCAATGTTGTATTAGTCCGTTGATCTTTGTCATCACAGTCGACAACTCAATGTCATAACTACCCGTGTCCCATGTCTATGATTACTCCAATTTTCTTATATTATATATTCATGGTTATTCTGTTAATCTTATTTAACGGTTTTTCATGATTAATAACTAATCTCCAATTCAAAGTGCGATATATCATGCAATCAACTCCAAATAAATATAAATAAAACACTTGTTTCAAATCGAGATAGAAGAGATCCGAGACAAACCTTTTTCCATTTTGCAATTAGATTGCGATCAGCATAGCCTTGGTCCAGACAAAACTCATATAACTCCTTGGAAATTTCTTTTCTCCGGTGGTAAAGGTCGAAAATGTAGCGGCTCTTTTGATGTGCTATTTTGAAAATAGGCCACAAGGTCTCACATTTTCTCTTACCATCATGAGTATCATTCTCAGCTGCCAAAAAGTTAAAAACGAATACACATCAGAATCCTTCCAGGCTGAACAAAGTAATAAAAACATGGAACATTTCATACCTTCTCTCATCTTAGCTTGCAGTTCGCGAAGCGTAGGCTCAATTAGTTCCCAACCTTCTGGGTATTTGACTCTGTTAGTCTTTACCTTCGGCATTTTATACCTGTCATCCGTCGCAACACATAACCAATTACTAGTCTGGAAATTCCAAAGCCATAATCAACGATTAAAGCCAAAAACCCAAAATTCATCAGAATCGTACGATGAATTTTCGACCTGCTAAGGAATAAATTTCATGGTAAAAAGAAAGAACAACCTGTAAAAATACTACATATCGTGCATACAACGATTAAACTGCAAAACCCAAAATCCCAAAAAACTATAAATAAGGGAAAAACAAAAGGGTTAAAAATTATCTCCGAATCGCACACTAACAAGCAAAAGTTTCACTCTTTAATTAATCAACGATTTATTTCGCATTAAGATATTTTAGCAATTCGAACAACCTAAAAGAGAAAAATTGCAAATTCAAAAATACACATCGCTGAAAAAATTAGATATAGAAACATTTACGTTGGTTACCTGACGAAGAGAAGAGAAGGCTGTGGTGGCGGTGGCGGTGGCGGGAAGCGAGGCCGAGCAGAAAGGAAAGGGGGTTTAGGGATTTGGAAATTTATATCTGCGTGCTCCTTTTTACTACGAGTTTCCAACAACGAAAATAAAAACGATTTGTTTTGCTTCAAAACAGAAAAAGTGCGAAGACACGACACCGTTAGAGACGACATGTCGTTCGTGCCCCCATATTTTTTTTTTTTTTAAGCAAACGATATTATCTACCATAAAGGGAATGTGATGGGCCTAGCCTTACAATGGGCTAGTAATAACGTGGTTCAAATTCATTTTGACGAGAATCGAATCTAAGACATCTCACTCACAAATAAAGAGAACATCACTAAACCGTATTACTAAGTGACCGTAGCCCAACATTTTAAAAAAGCCAAAAAAAAAATTTGGGAGGAGGGGGTGCTAACCTCGCACCATTCTCAATATTCCGTTGTTTGATAGAATGAATTAAAAAAAAAATCATAAGTACAAAAATTAAAATAGGCTGTGTAAGATGTAAAAATGTGTGTATAAATAACACTATCCAAATTTTAAAGTTCAACCGGATGATGAGAAAGGAATTGATTGGAAGAGGAACTTGACAGCAGGAGAGTTTAATTTTATAATTATTAAAATTGCTTAATTAAGAACAATATTAATTTCATATAAGTTGTCTATTAATTTAGGAGTCTATGTCCTCCAAAATCAAAATTTTTAGAGTGACCCTATATATATATATATATATATATATATTTTTTTTTTTTTTTTTTTTTTTTTCAATCCAAGTAATGGAAACTTCCGAAGTTTGTCTAAATTAAACATAGAAGATTAATTAGTTATGAAGGAAACTTATCCCCATTCTCGATTCTCCTTTTTGGGAGGATTAGAAGTGATAAGTGGTGTTCATAACTGCTTCATTTGTTTCTACCTTCAATTTGGGTTGAGGGGCATCCATTTCTTCATTCAGCATTCATCGAAGAACCTAGTAAGTTGTCCAATCCAAATCACGACGGTTGCACATACAATTTTTCTGCTTTTTAACGACAGCTATTGCCGGAATCTTTGGCTTTTCAGCAATAAATTGACAAGTAAAATGAGTCCCATAAAACTCCAATCATTCACTAACTGCTGATAAAAGAAAGAGAGAGAGAAATTGGTTCAAGGTGCTGCATTAAGACGACAAGCGTCTGAGGCAATCCATCAATGCATCTGTGTGTTCCGGCTTCCCAACAGATACACGAACGTAACCCTTCAGCTCTTTGTTGTTGTAGTGACGAATCATCACTCCCATTTTCGCAAGGTCCTCCTGTATCAATCAAAATTGAAACCTCGCTCGCTTGGGAATGCTCGAAAGAAATACAGGGATGAATCTACGCATGTATGTTATTTAAGTTTCCGTGTTGAATAGCAGGTCGAAATTATGAATCGGTGGATTGCGTAAATTGGATGACATAACGCTGTATTGAGGAGGAAAAGATGAAAAAATACCTTCAGCTTCTTAGCATCCATTCCCGATGTAACCTCACAAAGAATGAAATTGGAATAGCTTGGATACGGGTTGAGAAACGGCAGCTCCTTTAGAAGGTTGAAAAGCCTCTCCCTCTCTTGTAGCAAAGCTTCTTTCACCGTCTGGTATATGTTGTAACCGATATTAGAAATACACTTCAATTGTTAAGAGTCACAGGAAGCATGGGGAGAAATCTGAAGAATCCTAACCTCAAGATAGGTCGGATTCTGCAATGCTGCACAAGCAGAAACTTCAGCAGTAACAGACACATTATATGGTTGCTTAGCTCTCCACAGGTATTCAATTATGCTCAGCGGAAATGCTCCATATCCTACACGGAGTCCAGCTAAGCCTGCACCATTGCGCATCGCCAAAGATTCAAACCATTTACATAAAAAGGTTGAAACTAGAAAGTTTAAATTGACAAACAAAAGAGAACCAAAGTTTGTATATCGAAAATCTTGTTACTGGAAATCATTAGAAGTGCCAACAGTACAAAAGCAGAAGATTTCATTATTCAATAGTACCATAACGGAATTATATAAAGCAATGTTCACAAGTAATGACTTCTCAAAACAAAACAAAGAATACCAGCTCGTTTGCTGAATGTTCGCAGAACAATTAAATTCTCATGCTTTTTCACCCATTGCATCTTCGATTCGAGTCCTGAAAACTCAATATATGCTTCATCCAGCACCACCAATATAGGAAGCTCAAGAATTTTCAAGAGAATCTCATCACTGATTATACTGTCATCAAATAAGTAGAGCATGAAAATACAAAATCTTAGAGTGACACTCAGATTAAAGAAACCATACATCTTATCTTATGATAAGACAGTATGTGGGGTCATTAAGTCAGAATAAACCATCTCAAATCTAAAGCATATATGACTGTTCATTGTGATAAAGAATATAAGAATCAGGAACAACTTGTATCAAAGTTTTCATAACTGACGATCCAATTCCGAATATCAGGCATATGTACAAAAAGAGACAATTTTCAGTTACCTCCCATCTGGATTGTTGGGAGAAGTTAGGAATATGCACTTTGGTTTTTCCTGTAAAACAACATCTGAAATGACTTCTACATCCAAGCTAAAATCCGACTTCCTTGGCACTGCACAGTTCCACCGAAACACGTAGGATTATGCACACATAATGTACATCGAAGTATATGAGCTGAGGTCTTTTGTATTTGGGGAGAGGGCAGATAAGCTAACAGTTTCACATGTATGCAAGGATAAACTTTCTTCAAATATTCTAAAATTATATTTTCCATGGTATATTAAGCAGGAAGTTAACTTTACCTTTAATGACAGAAGCTGCGTTTACTGCAGCATCAAATTCATACATTGTGAACGTTGGTGGACAATCGACAATCTTGTCACCAGGATCAAGCACACATCTTCAGCAATATTTTAGTAACGGACAAATGACATAGAAGATCAGGGAGTGATAGACAAAAGTAACAATAATAATAAAAAAGGATAGCATTGTTAGAATCTTATACAAACATAATAATCAGTTCTGACCTCATAATCAAATCAATGAGCTCATCAGCACCACACCCGACGAGAATATAATCAGATTCAAGGCCCGAATCCTTTGCCAGGGCAGCACGTAATCGACGGCTTTCAGGATCAGGATAAATATATGGGAATTTCAATGCACCCAAAGCTTCAATAACCTACAAATAACATAAAATTTCAGTAAGAACATAAAGCGGTATAAAAAGCTTGGAACGATGGCGCTTAAAACTAAATAACTCCATAAAACCATATGTAGTATCAAAATTTATTTTGCTACGAAACCAAGTGAGGTGGCACGTATGACTTACCTCCGGAGGAGGACCATAAGGGTTTTCATTTGCATCTAACTTGATGATGTCCTCAGGCTTCCTTCCAAGTCTGGTTGACAAAACCTGTAGCAAAAGAAGCTTATTCAATGGTTTGGACTCTGGACAGAAATTTACTAACAGAAAAAGTTAACAAACAATGGAACGGATTGAACATAATCAAGTACCAACCAACTAAGAGATATCAAATTCAACCTAAAAAGAACCATTACAATGAAGAATACACAGCAACCAAAATCACAAGAAACAAAAAGAAAGCATAGATAAACAATTTCTTTAACAGAATGATCATCATCCTCACCCGGACATTCTCATCCCGGGGAAAGACCTCATCATCCTCACCTGGACAATCTCATCCCGGGCAAAGACCTAATCTTTAAAAGTTCAAATAACAATTAAGATGAATCAAGATGGTATAAACTCAAGGTTCATAAAAACACGCTACTCCAGCTCGATTTTGCCAACACTAGAACCATATTCATCATACATTCGCGATGCTAGGATGAAAATATCGATTCACACTCACAGACAATAAATTATCAACCTGCTTATTGAAATGCATTATACAGCTGACTAAATCCACATAAACAAAAAGAAATTTAGAAAAGTAGTGATAAACTAACTGACTTCATACCAACTAGAGCAAGAAAAATCAAATCTTTTGGACTTGAAATTACCTCGAATGGTAAAATGGGCTGATAAGGAGACAAGTTCCTCAAATGGGGTCGAATGAACGAGTCGCCAGTCAAACGCTGTTGACCGTCGTTGACTTCTTTCTGCTGCACAGGGATTGTGGACGCCATAGCCACCACCCTCCTCCTACTATTTCCTTCAATTCCACAGCTGGGTCTGCGGGTGGTGGTTAATCGGAGCGAGGAAACGTTGTATATATCAATCACACCCATCAACCTCTACCAATGGATGGCGGCGACGGCGGGTGAGAGCTCAGAGTGGAGGTAGGTAATGGCAGCGACAAACTGTGCTCGTGGCGGCGGCAGAGAGAAAAACCCAGTATCCCAGATTCCCAGCGTTCAAAGGAGTTTGGTGTTGAATCCTAATCCGACTCTTGTGCGCCAGCCGCCGGCGATTGTTTTCGTCCTACCACTTTTGAAACCTGATTTTTATTCCACAACGACCGTTTGATACCGTTCGTTTTCACGTCACTTTTCGATTTTTTTTTTTTTTTTTTTTTTTTTTTTTTTGAAAACTCATTCGGCAAGTTTTCAAAAACAAAAAACTCATTCGGCAAGTTTTCAAAAACAAAAAAAAAACCTCAAAAACCCCAAAAAATGAAAATTTGTTGTAAATAATATTTATTAAGTGATTGTTCACTTTTGAGTCAATATGTAATTTGCTAGGACATTTTTTATGTAAATTTTAAGAAAAATTAATAAAAATGACTTTAAAATTTGGAGTTTTAATAAAAAAAAAACAAAAATGTGTTGTAAGTGAATAGTATCATAAGTGATTTTTTAGAGTAAAAATGTCATTTTTTTGTTAAAGTAAACAGTATCGGAAGTGTTTCGTTAAAACTCCTTAAATTTTAAGCCGGATTTTTAATTCTCGTCCAATTAGCCCCATAAGTGTGTGTGTGTGTTGGTCAATAGCCCCATAAGTATATAAATATAAAGTTCATATTCACGCAATTGTGAACCTACAGCTCATTAGCTCATAACTAAATAGTCACTTGACTAGAAATGAAATTGCAGATATCCTAAACGACATTCAACATCCGCAATGATGTGTAGGATTATTACAAATCTGTACAGACATTTGAGGTCGAGTTATGTAGGGGGAAATGATTTTCAGTTCTTGATTCATCGTTGATTTATCCAAGCATGTAACTAGAAACTAGAGAGACGGTACAAGAGGATAAAGAGGGAGTGCGGAAATCGTTTCCTCTACGAGTCCATCATATTGTTGACCCTAGAAACTACAAAGCCTACGTGGCGCGCAGGCCGAGTAATTAATGAGCTAACTACGTCCTTCGGTGAATGCGGGGCGTGCCAACTCGTCGGCCGAGCTCGGCCGAGGAGTAAATTTGTTGATGTTGCGTTAGGTCGCGCTACTGACTTCTGCGTCTTGCGATTGCGGCCGAGAAAGGAACACGTCTCGGCCTCTTGGGCTCTCGAACCTGAAGACAAGGTTACTATTTTTACGAAGCTCAATATCAAATTCGGCTTTCAACGTGCCGAATGTAGTCACTTGTAACACCTCACTTCGCCGAGAAGGCTGATGAGATGACCTCGACCAACAAGGATTCAGAAATCCTTCTCGACCGAGACTTGGATAGATAATCAATCGTTCTCGCCGCAGTGCTGTTGATGCCAACGGAAGATACTGCGAGACCGACTGATTCTACGGTGACAGAGTTATCTATGCCGACTTAAGATATCACCGGTTGCTTCCACAGTGCTGTTGATGCCAACGGAAGATGTGTCAGCGAAAAAGGAAAAAGAAAAATCACAAGTTGTGAGAATTTGCGCAGGGCAATTTTGTGTTGATTTGCAGGGGACTTTCCCGTTGCTGAATGTCTTGTATTTATAGTAGCAGAACACCGAGCCCGAGTTCCAATCCTATTCGAACTAGGTTTCCTTCTCCGGATTAATATTACCTCGATCAGTCCTATCTCCGCTAGGACTACGATTCTAGTCCTTAACTGAGCCGGATTCGCTTTCTAGTTTATTGATCTCGTCGAGAGTCCCTATTGTACTAGGACTCGACTTGCATTCTGATTTAACCGACCTAGGCTTGGAAGCCCATGAGCTGAACGCTCCATGACCCTTTCGCCGTACGGCTTCCCGGGCCGAGAGTGATTCTTCCCTCGGCCCAAACTGCTATTTTGGGCCCAAACATTGCCCCCTCGCTTCTGAGGTCCTCGGCCTGAAACCTTCGGCCGAGTTTCGGCCTTGAAGAAGCGAATCTACCACTCAGAATCCTAATACCCGAGTTCCAAGGCGCATTTATTGAACACGATCGCACGATCTTGATCCTGCTAAACCACTCGCCACGTGGCATCCTCTAACATGGCCAATCCCCAATAATGACGTCTGAAGCGTGCGCCTGCCCGAACCGTCTTGCCATTATGACCACTATCTCAATCCGCGAGCCACTACCTCAGCCCGTGAGCCCACTTGTCATCATGCAGGCGTCGAACCGTCTTTCGTCATTAATTTCGCCGTCACACGCGATCGTGCGCCTCCAACATCTGAAACCTTCGGTCTTCTCAATTGCATTTCCCAAATGTTCATCATGATCCACGATTCATTTGGTCTATTTTGCCCTTTGTTTTGAATTTCGAACGATTGCTCTTCCCCCCACAACTCTATAAATACCGAAATTCCCTCATTTGTACTTTACGCTCTCAAACTTCTTGAAATCCTCTACCATTGCTTTCCAGTGCATTTCTCCATTCCAAGTCTTCGTCTTAAATCCCCAACCCAGAAAACCCTTTTACTCCGTGCTTCTTTCTTACAATGGCGTCCTTCATCTCCAAGCTTTCCAGGGAATGTGACCAACACCAGAAGATTCTTGATCGGAGCTCGATCAAGACCATACGGTTTGAAAACGACATGAGCACTCAGTACCAAATCCTGGGTCCTCTCTTCAAGGCTACAATACCGCCGACTATCATCGGCCTTCTACAGGAGCACTGCCTAACACCCCTGCTTCAAGGGTTTGAATGGTCGCGATGGGATGCGGCGAAGCCCCAGGGCTCCTGGCCCTCGACGACCACAACCTGGGCAGCCTGGGTTGTTCGAATGGAATGACTCTTTGGCGAGCAATGGAAGGCCCTCGGCATCTACGACGCCATCCTCCTTTCATCCATGGAAGTCGTCCTCAACAAGGAGCTTCTCCTAGCCGCTATGTGCTTCTGGTGCTCGGCCACCAACACAATGGTTCTTCCTCTGGGTCCCATTGGTCCCACCATCTTGGATATCACTGCCATTTTGGGGACTTCGACAACCGGGATCCCTGTCGACGCGACACTTTCTGGGCACCCGTCGAATATCGACCTGAAGACGCTTTTCGACCGTCGAGCCTTCGAGATCCTGAACCGTGACGGTCACATCCCGTCGAAAGAAGACATTCAAAAGCTCCACAAGAACTTCTGTAATTACAACACCCTCTATCTTCACTTCGTCGGCCGAGGAGAAGAGGACCTGCGAGAGGGAGAGCATGAAGCCTTCCTCTTCTATTGGTACAACAAATACATTTGTTGTACCAAGTCAAACAAGTGTTTGGTCGAGAACATGCCGGTAACCGAAGCCCTGGCTAGTGGACACGTCCTGGCACTGAGTTCCAACATTCTCGCCCAACTTTTCCGTTGCCTGGCCGAGGCGACCCTCCACAAGGTCAACCCACACCAGAATGGTCCTCTCTGGGTCTTCCAACTCTGGTTGCAAGTATACTTTGCCTCCCTTCGGCCGGCCATAACTGACTTCTCACCAACAGAGGCGCTTGGACCTCAACTGGCCTCTCGACCGACACCTCCCCATCAAGCCGAAGAGGTATTTCGGTACCTCTTCGCTCTCGACGACTTCTCCAACGACGAGTTCCTGATATGTCGTCGTCGAGACTATCTTTCCTCCATCAGGCTGCCTACCTCTACATGGAGCTCGGAGGAAGACGCCGATCTTCGTCAGACCTGGGGGTCGTTTGTGCTTGCTCGCGACCTCCCTCTCGGCTGTGACGGGAAACGGTCGGGTTGGGAAGTATATCATCCGAACTTCCTTGCCCGACAGTTCGGCTACCTTCAGGGCTGCCCCGTCCCCCTTCTCTCATCCCGAACAGTCCTAAGCCGTGGACGTGAACCTCGTTCCTCGGAGAAGGAGTGTAGAACCGCCGTGAGAGAGTTCCAAGAGCGCTGCCAAAAATTCCGCCTTCGACCAGCCACCCCAGAAACCCATTGCACCGACACCTTCGGTGAGTGGTGGGAAAATTACACCCGATAGTTCTTTGGTGCGCCGGTCGAGGATATGCTGAGCAGACTCTTTGGTGACCGACCTAAGAAGGCCTCGGCCCCTCATACTCAAGGTACCTGTTCAAATTTTTTTTTTTTCTTTGCATATTGATTTGCATGTCTTCTTAGGTAGTCGGCCCTTGAGAAAAACGGAGGTAGTTGCCGCTGCCATGGTCGGGAAAAAATCGGTCGTGGCCCAAAAAGACAAACCTGCTGGTAGGGCCGTGCTGGTCAAACGGCCTCGCCAAGAGGCCGAGCCGGCTATCGAGCCTTCCCCGCCTGCCAAGCGGGTCAAACAACTGGCGAAGAAAGGTACACGGGAGATCCACGTCATCTCCAGTCACACTACGGGGACGACGACTCCCAGTGCTTCCCCTTCTCCAGCCGCCGGCCAACCCCTGGCCGAGAAACAAATCGTACCTCCCTCCGTCGAGAAGGCACCTGTCCCTCAACAGGTGGTCTCTACGGCCGAGGAAACCTCCCCGAAAAATCCAAAGCCCTCGGTCTTCGTTCTAGAAGAGAGCGAGGGGAGCGACGAAGTCCCGCCGGCACACCGTCCTCATCCTCGCCAACCACCTCCTCTAGTGTCTGAGACGGCGGTTCGAGCCGGCCCCTCCACGGCTGATCGTGGCAAGCGCCCGGTCGAGGAACCGACCCCGATGGTCGAACCTCTCGCTCCCTCTCAGGACCATGACGTCCCTGCCTCCTCTGAAGCAGCTGTTCCGGTCGGCCCTTCCACAGCCGACCGTGGCAAACGACCGGTCGAGGAACCCGAGGCAACGGCGGAATCGCCTGTTCATCCTCAAGACCAGGGCTTCCACATTCCTCCACAGGAGGTTACCTCAGCCTTTGTAAGCACCTTCGACCATTTTTCCTTGATTGCTTTTTTCTTTAGAATTCTAAACGAGGAAAATAATAAATGTCAGGTGCCTGTACATTCTTTTCACCGAGAATTCTATGCGCCGAAGGGCGTTATCTATATTTCGTGGCCGCCTCAGTTGCCATCAAACGTAGATAACCTCCATCGGCCGCGTGAACTGAGAAGCAACCTGAAACACGGGGCTCGGCCATTGAGTTCTTTAGGTTCGACCAACGATCCTGGAGACATGGCCGAGGTCTCCTCTCGGCAGGTTAAAAAAAAAAACGAAACCTTCTTGCTACTCCTGTCATG